GGCACGTATCGTGAGTAGAGCTTGGTAATAGTACGCAACAGGTACGTATACAGATTATGGACAGGATGGGAGAGACAAACAGGTGTTGCCTGACTGAAGAAAATTAGTGTAACTACGTTTCTTAACTTGAACAAAGTTAACACAGGCCCTCGTCTTAAATGTTGTAAATTTTATTTATTTTATTTTTTTCTAATATTTCTTATAGATCCACAACATCACTTTGTCCTTACTATACAAATTATTCCTTTACAGATTAATAGATTATACAATTACTAGAAAAAAAATAAGATATTTTAAATAAGATTTTTTTTCTGTAAACTTTATTAATTATTGTACATTGTACAGGTAGATACGTATAATTCGTTTTGGATAATGTTCAAATTTCTTGCAAGCTTGTTGTATCCAATTAATTTCCGGTGATTCATTTTTTTTTAGTTTAGGGTGAGAATAATAGGAGCAACATCAAAACTTTAAATACAAATAAATACTTACCTACTAATCTTCTTTAATCGAGCCAAAATCGTAGCGATGTTAATGCAAAGCCAACTGCAACATTAAAAACAAATAACAGTGATCAATGTATAATATCTAAAAGTACATACATAGAGAATAGAGTATGCACCAAACATAATAAATAAATAATATAACAATGACGAAAAATTAAAACTAAATGTAAAAACACTAGTATTGCAAGACCCAGATAGAAGATATAGTAGAATAACCCACTAAAATAATTTGCAATATTTGTTACAACTAGATCTGGGATTTTTAAACTCTAAAAAATCAGAAAAAATCCTTTATTAATTAAAGGTAAAAATGTTTTAAAAATCCAAAACAAATGCACTATAAGAATGTATTTAAAAATGTATTTCTTATAGTTAAATAAATATATTTTAAAATCATATTTCAATTTTAATATGTGTCTTCTGCAGGGACTGGAACCTTTATGATTTAATCGGTTTGGCTTTAGGTTTTGGTTCTCAAAAACCCAAAATTTTGGTTTCCGATAATAGCAGTTTATATTTGACTTGCTTTTTATTTTATTTTTATCAATTAAGTACTGTATAACAAAATTAACCTCTATTTAATGACAGGAATTTGTAATTAAGTGTACCTATTTCAGAATCTAGGTAATATATCACTATGATATAATATGAACAGTAAAACTATAAAAAATATACTTTTGTATTCAATAATTTTCTGACTAAGAAAGTTTCACAATACAGTAGTAGCGTAGTACCAATTTCAAGATTTTTATGTGGAGAGGAAACTTGAAAAAATTTTAATATAAAATTCAACATGACCTATATTATGTATTATGAAATAATTTAAGAGGACGTAATACCCGCATGGGTTGTCTCCGTCTTACAAGTGCGTAACATACCAAATTGTACACTCAGCAGAACACGTGTAGCTCCGTTAATTTAAAAATTAAAATGAACTGACCTCTTATAAAATCTAAAGGTAAGATTATTATCTAGGCAACCTCATAGGCTTTTTATTAGATTTTTATTTTAACGCGAGTTATAAGTATTTTAAGATGTATAAAAAATTTACAATTTTAAAATACTCATAACTCGTGTTAAAATTAAAATATAATAAAAAACCTTTGAGGTTGCCTGGATAATAATCTTACCTTTATATTTTATAAGAGATCAACTCACTTTAATTTTTAAATTAATGGAGCTATACGTGTTCTGCTGAGCATAAAATTTGCTTTGTTACGCACTTGTAAGACAGAGACAACACATGCAGGTATCACGTCCTCTTAAGATCCATGCTTGAGTTTGATATTATAACTTATGAATTTTGACAATATTAACAGTAGGTAACAGAGACGGGAGAACAGTTCAGTAGTACAGTCATAGAGAATATAGAGTAAAGAGTTAATGATACCCACATTAGGTATTTAATATTATGACTGCACGCATTTTAGTTAGGACGTTATAGGTAACAATGATTAACTATTTATTTTATACGTCTTTAACTGTCTAATATCACTATATTATATTGTTTCTTTTTTTTTATTTTTCTATATTTGTCATAAGCCTTTCTAGTATATGAATAATTGTGTAATTGAATAACTGCAGTCGATCTATATCATAATTATGAACTAAAAGCTAATTAAAAAAAAAAATTAATTAGTTGACAAATTGGAAACTTACTCTGAAACACTTATAAACGTACAAACATTATTATTTTCAGAAATAATAATTAAATATTATTTGCATCCTCGGATTTACAATCTACATCAGCTATTGCGAATAGCGATTTGCTATTCAATAATAATTAAACGCATAACGCAGGTATCGGGTTTATTATTGACTACATGGAAGTTAGAATTTGGATTTTCGTTTTATGACGATTCTGTTGTAGACATAATAATATTCTTATTTCTTAGTATTGACAAACTTTTATAGATCGACGATTTTATAATAACTTGTTATTACTAATAACTAAATTATTACTTATTACTTATAACCTATTATATATATTATAGATAAAATATCAATTTAATTTTGGAAACCGATAAAACAGTAAAAACCTCTATCAAAATATAGGTTTTGATTTCAGTTTCGGTTCCTAAACAAATTTATTTAAGAGTTTCGGTTCGAAACCGGTTTATTTGGGTACATTCCAGTCCCCGATCTTCTGACTTCTTCTGAAATAATGATTGGAAAAATTCGTTTTAGTTAAATAACTAATTTTATATTTGTTTGCCAATTATTACTAAATGATTAAAAATTGTTGCTGTTCCACTATATCTGTATAATGATAATAATAATATGTTGTTTAATAATATTTTCAAACAAGCATAAACATCGTTGATATAGTAATTGATTTTTGTAAACAGAAAAACTTATTTCGACAATAACAAACTGATGTCACTGTCTTCAAATTTGTATGCGTGATTTAGTGTAACAAGCAATTTTTGAAGTTGGAACTATACGATGTAGGTAATAAATAATGATATTCAATATTTTCTAAAAATTATAACATTTTTGACGGCCAATCAGATAGGCAATTTAGGGGCATTCGTGTGTAGACTGTATTTCGTGTGATTCAATGTTTCATATATTATTTAAAATGGCAAATGGCAGTATAGAAATCTTTAAAATTTAAAATTACCGTACTATAAATGTTAAATGTCTAAAAAACAAGTTTTAAATGTTGAAATGGGTTGATTAAGGTTATTCAATTCACTGTAGTCTATACTAAAGTGATATGATTAATGAACAATGATCAATTATTATAATTTAACGCTAGTAATATATATATTTTTCTTTTTGAGAAAAGAAACCTGACTATATATCATACAAGTAAATACCATTACCTCAGTTCATAATATAAATACTTATAATTATATTTATTATATTTTGGGATAAATTCACTATTACACTTATTAACAATATTAACACAAGGATAACTTTTGGGTAACAAAAAGGTAAATTAGGTATAACCTAACCTCTACCAAAAATGTTTGGAGCCCAGTAGCCCACTCAGATTTTTCGGATAAATGTGAATACACAATCTAATTTTATTTTTTTAATATAAATGTAAAAACACCAAATTATTATATGATTAATTTAAATTAACACACAAAATATTCAATTTTACAGACGACTGTCGCCATGTCTTTTTTGCCTTAAAAAAATGTGGTCAGGACTCCAGCTTCTCTAACCTAAACCTCCATAGTCATTTGCTAAACTATGAAACTGATCTAATACTAACTGGATGACATACTGACTTAATACAATTTAAAATTTAAGTAAAAAACTTATTTTGTAGTTAGTGTACTGCGCACAGCGATCTCAATAGAATGAGTAGTAATTGAATGATAGGCCACCGTAATCCTGTTTCCATCTTTTTAATCCACAAGTTTTATTTTATTTTCACTTTCAGACAATGCAGAAAAGGTTGACAATTAAATAGTAACACGCCAAAAAGTATGATCTTGCATTGATAATAGCCACCTGTTAAAAGAAAGGAAACAATAAATTTAATGCTCTCAACAGATCATAATTGCATATTATCAGTAGGTATTCATGTATTATAATACTATAATAATAATATACAGTTCAATTTTGTTTCATCCAGGTCCAAACTTTTTCACACAAGAGCCATTGCATAACACCAGTTACTAACGATTAACCTTTTATCTTATATTCCGAGGGAACAAACAGGAAATTCTGGTGGATATTGTAAACTTTAATAATATATAAATAAAGACTAGGTACATATTCGTTTCGTCATTTAACTACGAATTACTTAATTCATTTTTCTTTTAGTACACTCTAATAAGTAACATACAGAGTATGGTAATATGAGTTTATTAGTGATCAAATTGGTCTTGGTCTTACGGTCTCGCAAGACTCTTGCTACAAGACCAACACCAAGATGATCCTGGCATAAGCAAAACCGAGACCAAAACAATACCCAAGTTGCGAGACCAAGACCAAAAGTCTAAAACAAGACCAATACTGCAAGACTCTTGCATTTTTTCTTTTTTTTCCCCGAAAACACATTAGTGTATCAAGATTTAATTAACTGACAATTTATAACGAAAATAATAAGAAATTATTTTTATAGTTATTAAATTTGATCAGTATTCGGGGAAATGTCGAATTATTGAAAAAAGGATTAGAAATAATTGGAACTATTATAACAAATTAATATAGTTGTTTCTTATTAATATTTTATTTTTCCAAAATCGATATAGACGTCGAAAGTTGTCTTCTTGCTAACAGGATAATTTATGTCCATAATACACGTCTACTTTGAATCGAATACTAATATTCGATTAAAGACTAATAATTATCGGAAGTCATTACGGACTACGATAGCTGGTATTATTTTGATTGAAAATACGTTTTTATTTTCGTTCGTAGTTTGGGTTTTATTGGCGTATTGGATATTGTGTACCTAAATGTCCTAAACTATATTGTCTGTACAACATGTCAGTACTGTCATAAACTTGTAGTCAGTTGATAATACGCCTTGTTGTTAGTACATACAAGTGTACAACGAGTAAAATAAAAACTAAATTATTTGATTTGTTTTATTTTTACTTTTGAATTATTAATATATTATTCATATACATATTGGACTTAAGTTTCATCTTAGAGGTTGTAGCAAAAAACCTACACACAGCTATTACAGGCGTTTAATTTTTTTTTATACATTTTGTGAAAATAATAAGAGTCTTTTGAGAGTCTTGTGCAAGACCAAGATTGAGTATGAAAGACCAAGACCCAGATCAATACTAACGTGTGTACCTTGCAAGACCAAGATTTTAAAAGTCACTAAGTTCCTATTATCACTAAAAATATAGCAAAAAATAAGCATTTATTCATATATATGGTAGGTACTGAATCATTCCTAATGTGTCCTTATGCACCGTTACAACACATATTTCCAACAATTCTTGTTTTGAAAAACCATGAGTTTTTTAAAAATTTAAGAGGAAAGGTTCATATTATTAGAATTTTTCCTAGTTTTTATCAGATACAAATGTAATTTTGTTCACCAAGCCTCATAATTACAGAATTAAGCAATTCGCTTAGTTACCTCCCATTCAGTGGATTGAAGGGGTAATATGGAATTGGTTCCTGGGTCAAAGTGTTTTCTCGATGAAAATTATTTATCAGTTATGGCTACCATTATATAACTATACAAGGTAAAATTGGTTTACATATTATGTACAAATCGGTAATTTTATGATATTTTATTAGGTTTCACAATGTCTAAGAAAGTTTGTAAATAGAATATTGAATAGGTATATCTAATGCATTGAAAAAAAGTAAAAGTTTATGAGTAAAAATAATAAAAAATCGAATGGCTGCCCAATTTTGAACATACAATTCGTCAAAAATATACGTTCTTCATTTTTACCACATTCATTTTTTTAAAAATATCATTTATTGTAATCAAAAGACCTATTATGATATAAAATTGTTGTCCACCTATTGATATTATTATTTTTTTATTTTATTTATTATTATTTATTACTTTATTAGCATTGACAAATACAGATATAACGTTAGATGTACTGTATGCATATAAACCACAATTATCTTTATAGATACGTAGCTAGCTGTACGTAACTATTAGCGAGGATTCAAAGATCGGATTTTCCTGGCCAGTCGCCGTGTTCCCCCAAGCGTAGTATGCCGGAGATGTCGCCCGTGAGTGCACTGGCCGATTCACATGGCAGATCACACAATCAACGAGTATAAAGTATATTTGATTCATAATAAATAAAAAAATATTTGTCAAGTATTTGTAATAAGTACCTTGGTATCAAATTATAATTATTTTTAAACAATTTTATAGATAGATATTTTTTCTCATGCAATTTATACAATTGAATTAACACATTTTTAACTTTTTAACTTTTTTTATAATGTTATTATTTAAGAAAATTTAACGAATTTACATTATATATAATAATAAATGGCAACATTGCACAGAAATTAGTATGTAATCTTGTACTTTTTGATAAACCATTGTTTGATCAAAATCGTACCGAATCGTATTCCCAAAAAGGTAAAACATTCGGAATCGTGCAGCTTTACCGCTTCGACCATCATAATACTAAATACAGTATGATAAACTAAGTACCTACTCGCTGAATAAAATTCTTGCAAATATATTTTTCCAAACCTTGACTAACCAAGCTCATTTAAATTCATGTATAGGTACTGCATTACATTTTCAATAACTTCTTAGCAATGTATTACTGAATATACTAAAATTACAATTTATCCCTAGATAATTTTAAATGTTCATGGTTTTTGTATAAAAATATTTTCTGCACCATAATCTAAAGTAGAAAATCACAGATTCGAGCCTCGATATGGCAATCGAGCCGCAAAATAAAATAGGTTATAGAAGTACCTATCACATTTATATGTATGTGACTGAGGCAACGAAAACAATTATTGTTATATTATATAATATAATTTTATCAGGAAATTTTAGTCTTTTGTCAGGAAATAGCTCAATAATGGCTACAGTTCGTAATTATCAATTATTACACTTTAAGGAGGCCCCAAAATATTTTCTATAAATGGGACCTATATCAAAATGGGCCAGTTACCCCACTCAACTGAACGGCCCTGCTATAGCTATTTCTGACGGTATTAAATCTGTGTAAAATGGGATGGAAATTGTTATTGGTGGAATATATCACATAATAATTTGAAAAGTTAATTTAACATAGTTTTGTATTATCATTATGAAAGGTCATCCTGTGTAGATCTGGAACCAATTCGATAATTGGGAACCGATGGAAAAAACATTGAAATCAGAAACACTTAATTCTATAATAACTGGACGAAACTGTTGTATATGGGATCATATTTAAATTTAAATAAGGATTATATAATATATAAGGTAGGTACCTGCCTACATAATATTATTGGAAACTCTACGCAATACGTATAAATAATATATAAGATAAAATTATAAAATATAAATAACGCATGACTATTCATAACACGTATTTTACATATATTTATTTTTTAACTATTCATTTAAATTTATAGAAGGCTGGTTAGAATTTGTTTGTTGGCAGGATATCTTTATAATCAAATATTCAAACAAAAAATAACTCAACCGGAATTTCCACTTATTGTAATTTATGATTATTCAGACTAAAAAAAAAGATTTCAACAAATTAACGCAGGTTTATTCAAATCTGCGCGTGTGCGTGTGTCTATGGAATTCAATAACTGCATTATATTTTAATAAATTATGCTTAGCCATGTCATATATTATCTGCGATATGCTGCAGTATACGAACAGTACATAGTATAATAGTTACCTATATATATATATATATATATATATAATGTTCGTATTAATCCATCCGTCATCACACATTCCATCAGTTGAATGTAGAGGAAACAGTCAAGTTGACTACAATCGTCTGTTTTTATAGTATACATGAAATATTGATACAATTGCAATTGTGTAAATTAGATTTCAGTACAGGCAAAAAAAATATCACTTATTCAATTTGTATTCATTTTTTATCTATTTTTTAACGCTGCACCGGTTTGCCGCGAAACGTGACACTGACAGTCCGACCAGTTGGTGGCACTGCACCTATTCCCTCCATTTTGTTTCATTCGCTTTCTCTCTTTTTCTCCCGTTGGCAACCAACAGACAACAAACCCGGTTAGAGTGAGAGATAAATGGCGTTTGCCGTCCGCAACTTTAGCGTCGGCCGTCGATGTGTGCGTTTAGTCTTTAGTGTGTAAATAATAATAAAATCGTTACAATATTTTCCCGTTTCGAGAAAAACTTTGATCACACTTAATACACGCAAACACTCTAGTCACGTTTCCGTACCCGGTAGCAGCTACAACAGCGGCCGCCATCGCCGTTCCTACTTTCACACGCGGACTGCGGCTACAGCCGACATCTTAGCAAACTGGTGAGCGTATTAAATTGTTTTATATCTCGAACAACGTACCCGGAGGTTTCAGACAGACGGCCGGCCGACGCCGGTTAGCCATCGCTACCGTACAGCTAAGGCCGCTTCTTCGTTCACACTCTGTTCCCCGTCGTTAGTGGACCGATCCTTATAGGTATCCGACATTCTTGTGTTACAGGAGGACATGACGCAGCAGCCGAACGCGAACGGCCGGTCTAATGGGCCCGGCCGGGACGACGATAAAAAACTATTTGTCGGTGGCCTAGGTAGGACCATTAGCGAGAAAGAATTGCGCGAGTACTTCACCCAGTATGGCGAAATCGAAAACATCAACATCAAGACCGACCCATTTTCCGGACAGTCTAGAGGCTTTGCGTTTGTGCAGTTTGTTAACGCCAAGACTGTGGACGATTTGTTGGCCGCCGGTGATCACTTTATTGCGAATAAAAAAGTGGATCCCAAGAGGGTGAGTTGTGTTTGTTCAATCTTTATGGTGGCTATTAAGAGGACTTGGCACCCTTGTGTGTTGTCTCCCTCTTCATATGTACGACATCTTAAATATTTTTTCATTAATTGCAATAGTATGCTATTAGTTTTGATACTAGTGCAAATTGATTAATTACGAAACTTTTAGGTAAGAACATTATCTTGGTTGTTTTTTATGATATTTAAATTTTTTAAGTGAGTTATGAGTATGATAAGTATTAATATTTGAAAATCCACATAATTCACTTAAAAATTATAATAGGTATTGTAAATATACGAGAGAACACCTCCTTAAAAGTTTAAGTCAATTTACTCAATATAAAAACTAACAGCACACTATTGAAATTAGTGAACAAAAATTTGGTATGGCTCATGTGTGTAAGGTGCAGACAACACACAGAGGTGCTAAGTTCTCTTGCATATGCCATATGTCATTCACTTAATAAAAAATTAATTTGTTTGACTATTTCCGGGTTGCATGAATAATCAATAAACATTTAACAAATCAATAGTGAGCTAATGGTCCTTTAAACATGATTTAGTGGCCCATGATTGGTCCATTAAATTTTATTGGACCTTGAATTAAATAAATTTTTCATGCAATGCAGCATTTAACTCTTAGTTGATAGTTTCCTGTTTTATCCCATTATATATATTAAAAGTTAAACTTTTGGTACCTTACTCACTCCACTAGAAATAGAACTTGTTTTTTCATCCGTTTCTGCATATCTCTTACCTTGTGCCTGTTCAGTTACAATCATCAAATGTTTGGCAGTCATCAATTATACATTGAGACTTGCCACCGGGTCGTAAATGGGGAAATTTGACCTCTGTGCTATTGCTGTTGTCAGTCGTATGCTCAAATGAGTTCCTTCTTTCATAGAATGGAGTACATTATTTGATAATTCAATTAGATTAATATTTTTTTTTAAATTTAAGTATTGAAATATTTATTTTATAGGTCATAATAAACAATTAAACAATACATTGTACATATCTATTTTTTTGTTACCCATTTTATTGCTTCAAACCGTAAAAAAATCATTATTTTCTATGTATGGCTTTTTATAATTAGAATCTTTAGAATCTTATATAATTTCCTATGAATAATAAATATATTTTCTATTGATTTAACAAGTATCATTTATTTTATTATTATAGGTCACAAAGAAAGTTAATCCACTGCGTTGTAAAATTTTTGTTGGAGGCTTAACTACCGAAATGACTGAACAAGATGTACGGAATTATTTTGTTCAATTTGGTCAAATATCCGAGTATCAACAACCTTTTGATAAAATGAAAAACCAAAAGAAGGGTTTTTGTTTCATTACATTTGAGGATTCTGAAGTCGTTAATCAAGTTTTAAAAAATCCCAAACAAGTTATTAATGGTAAAGAAGTAGATGTTAAAAAAGTTAAGTTCAATCCTGAAACAATGACAGCTCCTGGAACAAGAACTGGGAGTGCAGTAGGTGGTACTAGAGCACCTGCTACTTTTGGCTTGAGACCAGCATACCCTGGTTATATGGCACCTGCAGCTGCTTCGCCCTATGGAACTGCTGCAGATTATGGTTATGCAGCTAATGCTTATGATGCATATGGTGCATATGGTGGATATGACTATTCTGCAATTGGCTATGGAGGAGGAGGTAGTGCCGGCGGTGGAGGTGGTGGTGGTTATCCTGCACAAGCCTATGGAGGTGGCAAATATCGAGAAGCAACATATCCTCGACATGCACCTTATTGAATTTAAGACGCAAGTATAACGTTTGACGAATAATCCTGGCGGACACATTAAGACTGTGTTATTAATATTATTCAATTTTCACCCCCATTTCTGTATGATATAAAATACTACCATAAAAACATAACACAAAATTATATGTTTATATTATACAATAGTTTGTTATAATTTATAACAAAATTATAAGCCTAATTGAACAGGTCAAATATTAAGGTCTAATAATGATGTAAATAAATATTTATAATTTTTTTGTATATCATTTTAGTAACCTACTATGAGGTACTTTGAAGTTAGTGACTATAAAAGTAACTTCAATTTAAACCTTTACCTAAATAACATCCTTGACATCTGTAACTTATGAGTTTCCTTAATATGTTGAATATTTGTATTTTGTTGTTGAATAATTTTGTATAAAGTTACTTTATTTCTGGCTTCTACTTAGTTCATTATGGCTTTGTGAATATTAATCTACTTTAGTAGATCTAAAATTTCATGGTCATAGCTTACCATTTCCATGTTTGTGTTGAGTGTTAATTGCTTAACCAACAAAAATTATATTTAAATAGTCAATTTGTTTGTTGTTTTTTTTTTTATTTGTATATATATGCAAAATAATATTTATATTCCAAAAATTGGAGTTTTTCTTCGTGTG